TCCGGTACCGGGAACCGAACTCACGACCTTGCGCTTGCCAGGCAGGCACTTTGCCACTGAGCTAAGTCCCCAGCCCCAGACTGCTAATTTTATACCAAGTTAACATAGCTATTTATAAATACATTATGTTTTGTGTCCTCCTTCCTAAACTCTGGTGTCCAGTGGTGAGGTTTCCCATTTCCTCAAGTAACCCCCGTTTTTATTTCCTTTGCCTGCATTCCTTGAGAAAGGAACTTGAGAAGCTTGTGCAGTGCTTGTCAGACATAATCAAATCGTGAGCTAGCCTGGAATTAAAAGCAGGGCGCCCAGTTTCCGGGACTAACTAAATATATGACTACATCCAAAGTTCATGGTCACTGTGCTTTGCATAGTCCATTTACTGTATCTGATGGGCATGATAATGCCTTGTCTGGTTGAAGGCAAGATCCTGTGGCTAAGACTGGAACTTCTGTTACGCTTGCTTTTGTCTCCAGGATCTGTGCTTCTCCAGGAAGGGCAGCTTTCCATGGGTAGACTGTTCGAACACCAGCTTCACAGATACAGACTTTTGAGTTACTCCCATGTTCATGGGAGAACAGTCACTTAGAATACATCATCGTTTGGTTGAAGAATTGAGAAGATTGAGAAGACTCTCTGAGATTGAAGAATTTGAGAGGTAGCAGGTATCCAGATGTCTCAGTTACAATTTATACTTACTACCAATCTACATTAACATTCTTTTTTGTCTTTTTGAGACAGGGTTTTGCTATGCAGTTCAGCCTGGCCTTGAGCTCACTTTGTGTCCCAGGCTGGTCTCGAACTTGCAAAGATTCTCCTGCCTCAGCCTCCCGAGTGCTGGGATTATAGGTGTGCAGCATCACGCCTGGCTTTACATTAACATTTGGTATTAATTTGTCTAGGATTTTCTATACTTGGATCTATTAGGAGGAAAATTAAAATAATGTGAATCTGGAGTAAATTTGAGGTAATGGTACTATGGTTGTAATACTACCAGTTAAATTTGTTTCAGTCAGAGATGTAAAATAGTGTTGATGGAATTGTTGGACATCTGTTTTAATTATAATTTAGCTTCTTCACATGATATCTTAAATAGATTAATAAAAACATGTTAGTTCAGCATTAACTGCAGTTTTTAAGAGCCAAAAGTCATATAATTTAGAAGTGAGGAATACAACATAATAAGACTTAACTATGCAATATGATTTATCTACTTATAGTCAGACTTTAAATAAAGTGAAGAATAAAAATATTCTCTGCTCTCAATACTATTGTGAATCATGACAGTGAATTTATTTAGAATTGTGTTCTAAAATAATAATCTATTGAACTAATAGTTTTTCATCATTTGTTTGAAATTTAGCTCCATATTTAAAAAAATGAATGAACACATTGATTCTTGATTAAATACTTCAGGTCCTTTGATATAAGGCATTCCACTATATGAGACCTCATGTCTGTGAGGGTTTCTCAATTCTTTTCTGTGGCTCAGCTTTCCAGAGCAGAGGTGGGCACTGACGTCAATGCACACAGAAGCCTGATCCTTTTAATCCTTTTTATGCATACTTTTCAACCTGGCACATATTTTCAAATAAATAAATCGGTTAAAAAATTGTAAGATTCAATTCTCATGAGAAAATATGGAAAGAAAGGCTATTCTCAGGAGAATGGATTTCTGTTTGAATTACCCAGCCAACTGCCTCAATTCTCTGCTTTGGACATAGGGACATTACTTATGGTAGGAAAAGCTGACTCTAATAAATCCATTAATCAACATGGATTAATTCTTTCCCTTCAACTTTAAGTTTCTTTCAACTAAGATGAGGTTTATATTTATGCCTAAGCGAAGACACAGATATACAGGCACTCCTTGCAATACTGTTCTGGCAATGCATAGCGGGGAATGTATATGAATTTGGTAAGGAAAATGCACAAGATATATTGTGAGACTTATTTTTCCTGAGGAGAACTATGTCATCCACTGTCAGGAGAACATTTTATAAATTAGAAAAAATGATAAGCTAAAAGGTCAACCTGCTGTTATTAAGCAGAATTTTAGAGTTGGGAGGAAGAACGGATGCAGCAGACATTCAATGACAATGTCAAGAAAAAGGCTGAATTTTCCACGTAAAAGCAAAAGAGAAGTGTTGGAGAAACACATCCTCACTGAAAAATTCTACATTGTGTGCATAGACTTAGGAGCATGAATATTTTCTGTGCTTCACCTTAGACACAATTAAGCATAAAGAAGAAAAAACCACATCACATGTACTTCATAGATTTACAGTTTTTCTTTGAGAAAAACAAATATTTCTTTCAGAGTAAGGTCTTTCTGTCAGTGGCATAAAAAGCACTTTAATGCTTTTTACGATATTTTCGGTTTTCAAAGAGAAACTTGGCTATTTTCCTGTGGAAATTATATAGTATTCTGTGAAAACTGCCTTACAGCACAGTTTCAGAAAAGATTTGGGAAGGAAAAGTCACGTGAGATGCTTTCATTTTAGAGTAGCCTCTGTTTCAGTGGTTCTAGCAGAAACCACAGGGGGAAAAAAAAGAAATGTTTTCTTCCTCATAAGACATCCATCACATCTGAAATTCTTGTAAAATCAACTGAAGCAAATTAGGGGTTTCAAAGCTAGTCACCTTATAAGTTGTTAGGAAAAAATTTGCATTTAAATTGCTTTATGCAGCTACCTTGAGAATTTCCCCTGGAATGTTTATGGCTCTTTTTTTCATTAATACTTAAAAAATACAATTTTGTAACCAGTGTATTACTACATCTAGTTGTATTAAGAAGAGGAACTTCATTTTATGAAATAGAAACACATTCAAAGTAGTTTTGGGTAACCAACCACTCCAGTCAGAATACTTGAGTTCTTCATATTGAACACTTATTAGTGAAGTTAATCTGAAACTATCAATTCTCCATTTCTATTGTAGAAACTTGGTCATTAGTAGCTCTGTCAGAGAGAACAACTTTGTGTTCCTACATGTTCTGACCATAGGAGAGAAGATGTCCAGAACCTCATGGAATTTTTCTCCCAAAATAGTTTATATATAAAAATACAGCAGATTTCTTTTAATAGATAAATCTTAAGTATTATTTCAATAACTTGCTTTTACATATTCAGAAATGTAGATATAAGAACAATATTTGATGTGCAAAACCTTCTTTCTATGTACATTAAAAATACCATGTAATAATAGCTTTAGACTTGTTGCAAAGCCATAGGGGAAAAAGTCCTCAATGTCAGAAAAATCTGGGCAGATTAGAGCTTTTGCTTATAAAATTGTAAACAAACATTTTTAAAATGCCAAGAGTATCCTCAGTTCTTCGCAACCGAGACACTCTGGAACACTTCAAGTCCTGCTTTGAAGTAAACCTGAGCTGAATTAATGCTGTTCAGAACCTCTGACAGGGCTCCTTGAAGGGTGTCATTTGATGTGAGAGAGCTGCAGTGCTCCCAAACCTCCATGAGTATTGAAAACTGGCTTGTCTTCTCATCCATGTGGTACAGGATATTTCTGGAAGGAAATACGGAATACGTAAGTGCTGTACATGCAACGTGATGTTCACACCACACACTGTAATGTATTACATTGCCAAGAAGCTGTGATACTTGCAATAAATAAAAACATAATTAAAATGCAATATAACCATTTTTCAAGCCCTAATGAATTAGTGGATATACATATTGATCATCAGTAACTTTCTATATTGATGAGAGGGGGAATCAAACATTATATGCCTCAATGGGACATACTCTACAGTGTCTAGGAAATAGAACATACAGGTTTTGGTAAAAAAATATAAAAATGGAATGTGAATCTGCTGATGTTTCAAAATCTAATTGCTAATTAATATGTGGGACAAAAATACATTAAGCTGACACCATGATGTTTTCCTAGCAAAAAACAGACTGTGGAAATCGAGAGGAAAAATAACAGTATATTCAACAAATCAATTGTTATTAAAAATTGGGAAAGAAGGGGCTGGGGATTTAACTCAGTGGCAAAGCGCCTGCCTGGCAAGCGCAAGGTCGTGAGTTCGGTTCCCGGTACCGGAGAAAATCCAAAAAAAAAAAATAAAAAATAAAAAATAAAAATTGGGAAAGAACAAACTTAGATCAGAGTTTCTCAACTTCATAGTGAACTGCCCGAAAGTCTGTGTTGCGCTGGCAGCTTTGATACTTAGCAGCAGTTTTGGGCCCCCACAGGCTAGATAGCCTTAACATCCCTCCTCCAGTTTTTAGAAAAAAAGTCTCCAGATATTGCCAGTATCATTTTTAACGGGGCAAAATTGTATCTAATTGAGAACCACTGTTCTAGATTTTAAAAAAAACAAAATGCCAACCAAAAGTTATAGACTTCTCTAGATCTTTATTCAAATAAACTTTTAAAAATATGAGTAACAGTACAAAATTTAATATTGATGTTAGGTGAATATAAAGTAATTATAAATATTTTACATGTAATAACTATATTATCATGATCTTTTCTGAAATTGTCTTCATCTGCCATAAATACATGTAGCAACTTGGCAGATGAGATGCTGTTATGTGTGGAATTTTCTCTAAAATCTTTGGAAGAAGGGAAGGGGAGTGAAGTTGTAGATGTCATATATGGGATAATAAGGCTCATTAACTAATAACTGTCAAAACCGGGTAATGGAATTTGTTACACTATTCTCTCTTCTTTCTTATATCTTTGACATCGAGAAGGTCATTTACATAGAAGTGTGGGATGCATAATAACAAGATAGGGCCCTGTAACTTAGCCAAATGGCTGAGGGGATTTCATGTGGGCAAGTCTAAGACAGTCACTTTTATTCATTGATAAGAAGAGATGAAATTTGGTGGCCATTATGGAGTTATGCATCCTCAGCTTATTCTTAATGCTCACTGCAACATAGCTCTCATTAGAGCTGAAATTTCAAGCTGTAACAAGAGAAGACCTCTAAATAACTGAAGTACAATCGCCTGATTGTCACAGGGGAGACAGAAGGAATGGTGATTACAAGTGAAGGATTGCTACTGGAAAAGGTCACAGGAAGCTTCACTACGGAGAAATATTTGAAATGTGTCTTGAAAGATGATGGGAGTTAACAGTTACAAAGGTTTATGAAAAGGAAGGGGTTAGAGGAGATGAATACAGAGCCCGTGCAGGAGGACTAGCACATGCAAAGACATGAAATTATGCAATAGCGTGGCGCTCTCAGTGGAGTCAGGGTCAGCATTTCTGCGTGACCACAGCATAGGGCCAGAGTGGGCATTCACAGAAGAAGAAATGAGAGGCCAGACCATAGCCTCATCACACAGGTCCTGCTATGCCACGGGGAGCAAACTAAGCTTCTTCTTACAGGAAACCAACAAGAGATTCTAAGCAAAAGGCAAAGATAATTAGATTTTACTCCTAAGTAATCACTCTGTGTGTAACAGAAAGCCAGCTTAGAGAATAAAAAGACAAGTTGGTCCAGAGGAAAAATGAAGACACAAGTTACACAGTGATAGCTGAGTTTGAGGTAGAGAGAGTAACCAGCGCACAATTTAATTAATTTACGTTTTTCCTTGCACTGACATTAACGAGATAATTGCTTTCCTTGGTGCTCTGCCTCAGTCTCCGGCACTTCTCATGTACTCTGTGGTGGTGAGCAGGCATAGAATTCTGCCTAATCCTTGAAGCCGGAACCAGAATATCACCTTTCCTTCACTTATGCAACTATCTCTGATACTCATTTTGTCTTACCAGTGTCTTGTCCTTTCATGCTTTTAAGGATACACTATGATTGTGTTGCTTTACACTTCAGGATGAAAAATATGTTATTTTCCTTTCAAGTCTAATTCAGTACTGTCAATATAGGAAGCCTTGAGTCTTGGTGATTTACTCCACTGAAATTTGTGTCAGGTTAAAAATGGTGCTGGTAATTTAGGAGACCCTCGATAATGTTGGTACAGTTCAGGTTACTTTGCATTCTAAATCCTGACTAATATAGGCCAGCAGATATTGTATCTTTGTAGACTGCCAGACATCATGGAAAATAGGTAAGGAGGGCAGGATGAGTAAAGGCTGATCAATGGGTAATAAGACATAGTCAGACAGGAGCAAGAAATTTTTGTGTGCCACACAGTAGGGTGGCTCTACATAGCCCTGTAATAATGTACTGGATGTTTCAAAAGCTAGAAGAAAGGATTCTGAAAGTTTTACTGTAAAAAATGAAAAATGTTTGATAGAAATACCATACAATATATACATGCATCAAATCATTACATGATATCCCAGTAATATGTGCAATTTTTACACTTTTTATATGAGCTCTAAAATCTTAAAGAGTTTTTAAAACATAGTGAGGATTGATGAACATCTTATAAAAGTTTTCCTAAATATTAATGTCTCTCCATAAAAATAAGATGTCATTTTTTAAAGCCAGGAATCGAACTCAGGACCTTGTGCTTCCCAGGCAAGTGCTGCACTGCTGAGCTATATCTCATTAAAAGAGAAAAAAATAAAAGAAACCAAATAATCCAGAGGAACTTTGAATCACCTCAGGAACTTTCTAAAAAGGAGAGGAAATTCCCCAGGATGGTCTCATGTATTCTCCAACATGACTGAACCTATTTAAAAAAGTTAGCATTTCCACATTAACATAAACTTTAACTTTCATTTAAAAAAGAGTAGGTTTTTAGTGCAAGACATTTTAAAATATTATTAAAGTTAACAGCAAAACATTTAAACAAATAAATAAGTATATTATATTAATGCACATATAAGTTTTTATATAATGAAGGAAAGTGCTTTAAAAACAAAACTATTTTAAAGATAAAGTAGATTAAAGTGCATTTGAATCATTCTTTTAAAGTGTGGTCACTGTATACAATTGATACTGGTTTACCAATAAAAGAACTAAATTAGTAAAACTAAGTTTAGCTTAATAACTCAAAAACTAATTTAGTTTACTAATTTTAGTTTCTAGTAAAACTAAATTTTTAAAATAAAATTCAGTCATCTTTTATACTATTTATAATGTTTAATCATCTCTTCCCATTTTATCAATTCCATATTTAATTACAAATAATTTTATGGCCAATATATTTTCTGGACTTAAAAGTTTAGTAGATATTTTCAAAATTGTACAAAATATTTCTGTTTCTTTGGGACATATTTCTTTATATGCTCACAAACATAAATATTAGAATCATTATTATCAAGAACTGCTGCTTAAGTAAACTGTACTACTACAGTTGGAATACTATGGAGAACATATATGTTTAGTGACTTTCACACTGTTAGAACAACTTTTCCAGTTTTTCAAAACTGACACAAATTATATTTCTATATGCAGAGAGCTATAGGCACTGGATAAATTTTGGCTATTATTGATATTAAATGTAATTAAATGATATTAAAAAACATGTTCATAAAGGTTACAAGATTAACCCTTTGATGAGAATTCCTTCAGGCATGGAGAATATTTATGTAAAAATTTAGCCATAATTACTACAACATATCTAGAAGGAAAACAAAATGGAAGATTAAAAATACATTTTACATAGAATGTTCTGTGCAAGCACAAGAAATAGAATAACTGTTACTTTTTTCTTTTTGTCTTTTTGAGATAGAGTCTCGCTATGGATTTCAGGCTGTCTGGCCTTAAGCTCATTTTATAGCCCAGGCTGGTTTTGAACTCACAAAGGTCCTCCTCCCTCAGCCTCCCGAGTGCTGGGATCACAGAAGTGTACCACCGCGCCTGGCAATATGTGTATTTCTTAAAGACCAATGCAATGGTCTGGCATCTGCCAACATTTGCCTTTCTTAAGCAACACAATGATCTGCTTTTGTAATGACTATAGACAAGCTAAATGAATATAAATGGACCTTCTTTTGGCTTGTGAAATTCCACAAGGATCTAAACACGTTTTCTAAACACTACATGATTCACATACCAGATGCTTAGCAAGCTATTATGTAAGATAAAAACTCATCCATTTCTAATCAAATTGGATACAAATCAGAATAAAATTACAGAAACTGAGGTTCTAATTGACTGTACCAACCAGGATGCTTGTATCCTGATTTAAGAGAAAACCTTCAGTTTGGGTAAGGTGCTGATATAACTTAAATTAGTTTATCTGTGTTATAATAGCTGAGACACATTTTCCACCATAATACACTGCATTACCTGAAAAACAAATTGAGGATAACAAAAGCATCTTCTTAAATTTTCATCAGGAAGATCATTTCTCCTAGTGATTTTAAGAAGTGTCTCATCTTTTCCAGTTTCCCCTTAATGTACTAAAATTCATCTATTTTCACACTGGAGAGAATAAATATGTGCATTTGGCTCTTTCTGAAAAAGTACCAGCGTGTTATTTTGCTTTTAATATTTGGATTAAGACAAAAACAAAACCAAAGCATGGTTTAAATTCCATCCCAGACATTATCAAATATGTTTTTAGTTCTGAAAATTTTCTTACATATTATTACTGTATTAATCCTAAATACCCCATGATCATCTTTGCAAAGCAAAA